ATCTCAGCCAAATCTCAACTTGGGCACATATCCTCTTAGACTTTTTCTAGTCTATGCATTCCCTACTTGTGGACAAAATTTCAGCTCAAAAGCTTGTTAGCACCTCGGGTAGTTCCCTCGTGAGACCAAACAAAACGTTATCAGGACACTTATTAGGTGTTGCTTGTCGTTTTTGGAGCATTTTTTTACGAAATTCTCATCTTAAAGCCAGTGTATTACTGATTCTATATACAAAAAAAAAACAGCATATTTAAGCAAATAGGCTCTTGCTAAAAACATTTTGGCAGCTGCGACAGTCTTGATGAATAACTTCTTTCGAAAAAATATTGAAAACTGTCTCTATTAAGTTTATATTTAACTTTTGTATACTAAATTCAACCCGCATTATTCTTTTTCCCAACAATAATTTACTCGAATTCAACTATTAACAAGTACAGATATTTATTTAAAAATATACGAAATCCAAACTTCAAAGAATATACCATTATGTTATTTAAAATATATAAATGACTTGAGCTGTTTAACAGTTAATTAGGTAAAGTTTCCGCGTGCACTTTTGGCACACCTTGTAGATCAATTGAATAGAAAACAAATCAATCATTGTCGTTGTATGCGAGCTAATTTTTCTGACAAGGAGTCTGCTTTATTTGCTGTCTACTGACTGCATTCTTTTCGAAATAATGCTGAGAATGAATCTATTTCTGCATAAAATTCGCTTGGTTTTTTTTTGTTTTGCGCGTTCTTATTACATCGATTATTCTCGATTAGAATAAAGAATATTTGTTTTTTTTTTAGTATTAAAACCAATCTATTGAATAACATATTGAATGTGTAAAAGTTGATTTTTTATTGTGATGAATATAATTTCAAGCAAAAAAATATTTATTTTATTCACTGCTTGAAACGCTTCTATTCGAAAAAAAAAATAGTATGAGAATGAAAAGCAGATGTTTTACATGATAATATCGGATGAGAAGGAGGTAGGCGAATATCTATATAAAAAATAAAAATAAAACGATAATCATTTCTTCGATTTTACGAGACTATAGCCATGTTGAAATCGATTGTTTGCTTGTGTATCTTCGCTTTAATATCGGCCAATGCCTTTCAATTCGAAGTTAGTTATATAATTAATTTGATTAAATCTTAATTTTTGTTTTTATTTTCTATTAGCTCAATGATAAGGCTCTTGCCTATTTAGCTGAAGCTAAATTGGCCGATTTGCCTAAATCAGTTCAATTATCATTAACTGGTAATTCAGGACGTGCTGCCCCTGGTGGTTCTTCGTAAATTATTCAAAATATTTTCTTTTCTTTCTCGAATTTGGTTTTTTGTTTTTCTTGAAGACATTGGTGTTGTATTAACGAACAACCAATTACAACAGTAACACAAACAAAAATTGATCATGCTACACATGTTGTAGCTACAAAGACAAAAGTATTGTTTGAAAATATTTAAATTATTAAATAGATTAAATTTCATTTAGGTTGGCTATGTTGAATGTGGTTTTATGGGTAGCATGAGATGCAGTCATTTTGTTACAAGTTATCGGTATGTTGTTTACATTTTATTTCATAAGTAATATTCGGCTTATTTCTTTTTCTGTAGACAGGAAATGTATACATTTATACAAACATTTCAAGTTCCTAATATGGCTGCATGCAGTAGTCATGAAGTGAAATGCTGTTCTGGCTATTTACTGGTATGATGAGAAAAATAACTTAGTTTGCTAGCTGGTTCTTTTTTTAATATTAATATTTATTTTTAGGTCGCTGAAAATTGTCATACATTTACTGATTTGGTTGCTAATCAAGAATTGTTTCAATTTTTAAGTGGTCTTGGTTTACTTACAATGCCTAACGTTGGAAAATAAATGATTTCTTGACTAAAAAAATAAATATTTTGATTCGATTGATGAAAATAATCGAACACAGATAAAAAGAAAATGCTTGAAACAAACGTGGAAATGCATAACATACAGTTTTGTTTTGTGACTTAGAAAAATAATTTTAATTATAGAAAAACTGGTTTATTTGATAGCTATGTCGAAGAGAAACAGAAAAGAAAAATTAATTAGATCAAACAAATTATTCAAAAATAATCGAATAAAATCAGAGATATTTGACAATAAAAAAAAAAAAAAGACTTTTCGCGGATATTTCTGTAAAAGTCTGTAATGTACAGCTTGACTTTAATACACTCGAAAGAAAATGTAATAAATATTGCTCGATTATCTGGAGGACAAGTGCTCGTTCTCCATGAGATAATTCTTGTAGATCTCGAGCATTTCACATCTAACTACAAAACAAACAAACTATAATAAATTTTAATTTAAATAATCATAATAGAAAGAAGTTCAATCTCTAAGGAGATGAATAAAAGTCGTATGTGAAACATTAAACCAATCTAGGTTATTAATGGCCGATACCAGTACCAGTATAAATAGGTCAGACCTATACATGTACGAATCCAAATTTTTTGGTCCTAGTCTCAGTCCTACTGGTCGAAACTGATCCCAAACATGTCTACTCAGATGCAGCAGTTATTGAATAAAGAACATGATTAGCAACTGAAACTAGACGGTATATGAGCTAAGTCGGTGGTTTGAAGCACATCCTCAAACTAGCCTTAACGTTTATGAGATTACAAAAATTTTCGAATTGGTCGAAATGTCAAATTTAGAGAAAAAACATATTTCTATATTGTACAAAGTAGAACAAAGAGTTTAATGCATGTTTCATTATATACATCACAAATCAGTTATTAGGAAACAAACCAAGTTTTGTACTAATTGAAAACTAACAGATATTGTATCAAAGGCATATGAAAAGACAAGGTACCCAGTCAGACAAAAATTTTGAAAAACGCGTTTAAACGCCCAATCGGGAACCGCGATTGTAAGCCATTAACGCTCATTAAAAAAACGCATGAAAACGCGTTTATTGGCGTTTTTTGTAACTTCATGGGCGTTAAAACGGTGACAATTCCCGTTTTTGAGCGTTAAAACGCACAATTATTCAAGAACTTAAAAATAATACGTTTTAACGCTC